CTCTGTTGCCGCGTGCGGGGCCGGGGCCGCGCCCCCCTGTCGCGGCAATGGCGGCGTCCCGTCTCCCCCCTCTCACCCCCTGCTCCTTTACTACCTATCGGCCCGCAACAACTGCAATTTCGCTCTGCTCTGCTCCACACTATTTTTTCCCGCCCTGCTGAGTGATAGCCGGCCTTTGCGTGGGATGGGGGGCACCCATCCGCCGCCCCAGCCCCCCCGGCCGCGCCGTGCGCTGATGGAAGCAGGTGCCCTTCTTGAGAAGCAGCCGGGCCCTTGCCCTCGACCCATGGGGGTGTAGCGACTCAAGGGCCCGCGCGGCGCGCGGGCGGCCGCCTCGAATGCCGCCCGACCCCTACACGCGCGCCGCGCGAGGGCGGCCAGGCTTGTCGTCGCAAGCCGCTATCAACGGCTGACAGAGGACACGGCCCTCGGGACCCCTCAAGCCGCGCCGGCCCACGGGCTGCCTCGACGCCCCTTTTTTGGTCAGATGGTTGCAACACTGCCGAAATGTGCGAGCGAAAAGCACTGTGCCCGCCGCCGCCGCCGCTGTCGCCGCCGACACCATTGCGGCGCGCGGGGCGCTCTGGGTCCACCTCTGTGGGGCTCTCCTGGGTATTCGGCCAAGCGAGGCCCGAGCAGTAGCTTCATGCGACACCTGCTGCTTTTTGGGGGGGAACACAGGCGCTTCCGGGGCCCCCGCCCCGCCGCGCGGGATCCGAGCCGGAGCGGCGGCCGGCCTGGCGGGCGCCCCGTCGCAATTCTTAACCAACTCGAACCATGGGCGGGCGCGCCCCGGGCGGCGGGCGCGGCCAGCGGCGTGCTCGGTCCCGGTTCGTCCTGACCGCGGACGGGCGCGCCGCCGGCGCGGCGGCGTCGCGCCGGGCTCCCGCGGCTGCCATGGGAAGGCTCGGCGCTGCCTTACAAACTGCGCTTGCTCACACACCGCTCAACGTGTACGGCATTCACTCCCACAGCTCTGTCTCGTCCCGTGCCCTTGACGCACTACCGTTACCCGCACGCACACAGACGCGCGCATTGCTCCAATCAAGTTGCTGCAGCCTGGGTTGTTGTGTTGTCGGTGGGGTGAGAGAGTCTTTGAATGCGGCGGCTGCAAAGGAGGCCGCCCCGCCACTTTTTCAACCGGGAGCATGCCATCAACACCACAACAGGGATGGCAACTCCTTTCAAGTGCTGTAACGCCGAGCAGAGTGCGCACAAGGCCTGGTGGGGCTTGTGACCATCCCTGTCGCAAGCCCGGAGAAAAGTCTTGAATGCAGCCAGGAAAGATATGGGGAAGGGTGGGGACTGTGGCGGGAGGGTCTGGGCACTGGTCAAGAGTCACCCGAGTGCCGCAATCGCAGACCCTTGGAATGTCGAAATCACCGCGCGGCGCCGAGGCGCAGAATGGGCGCCGGTAATCAAGCACTGCCGTCGAAAGTATAATGACGGTACAGATGCGCTCGTGTTGTATCAAGGGCCCTTCTCGAAATGCCCATGTGGAACCCGCCCCTGTCCCGGCGCTCACACGCCTGCTCGTCTTCCGCGAAACAAAACCTACACGCTCGCCCTCATGCCCCTCGCTCCGACTGGCGTGCGGACCCGCAGCCCGCGACGTTGCGCCGCCGGGTCACGCGTTGCTCGCGTTGCTGCTGCGCCGCCTGATCGACTGCAGCGCCTGCGTCAGGTGCTGCATCCGCGCCAGCAGCTCGTTGGCGACCGCCAGCTGGCGCGTCAGGTGAAGCTTCTCGGCACGCAGCTTCTCCGCCTGGTCGCGCGCCTCCTGCAGCTGCCGCCGCAGCTCGGCCTCGGTCTGCGCCGGCGCAGCCTCGCGTCCCTCCGCATCCCACGCGCCCACACGCAGCTCGCCGGCCGCCGCCTCCGGCGGCGGCGACGCGGGGCGCCGCGGGACCGGCGGGCGGTCGTTGGGGGACGGCGGGGCGTTGAGGGGGGCCGCAGCCAGCGCGATCGCCGCCACGCCGCCCGCGGCGGAGGGCGCTTTCCAAAGCTTCAAAACGTCGGCCAGCGGCGCCCGCATCCTGCCGGCGCTGCGCGGCGAGGGCGCCGGGGGCGGCAGGGCGGCCGACCGCGCGGCTCTGGGGGAGGCCGCCGGCGAGGCGGCGGGCGAGCGCGGGGGCGTCGCCGCGGGCAGCAGCGGCGCGGCGCCATCGGCTGCGCGGTCGGCGGCACCCTCCTCAGCAGGGCCCTGCTGCGCGGCGCAGGTCGGGGCCGCACCATCTGCCCCTACGGACGCGGCGGGCGCTTCAAGTGGGTCCGCCGCTCCGCCGTCCATCACGGCGGTCATGCCAGCAACGCCGCGCATCTGTGTTGGAGCCTCTGCGGCTGTGTGGCTGTCATCCACGCTTTGGCCCACACCCACGCCCGCCTCAACGTCGGCTGCTGCAGCTGCAGCTGTGAGCATGTCTGGCGCATTGGTACAGCTGGCGCCGCCGGTGCTCCCGACGCCGCCGGCGCTCCCGGCGCCGCCGGCGCTGCCGCCGGTGCTGCTGTTGTCGCCAGTGCTACCGCTGCTGCTGCTCTCGCGGTTGCTGCCGCTGTCCTCGCTCGGCGCGAGCACGCGCCCAGCTGAGGCGTCGGGCGTGCCGGGCAGCTGCTCTGCTCCTATGTCCACCTCATTGCCACTGTCTGATTCCTCCCCTGTTTGCTGGTGCATTTGCTGCTCCTGCTGCTCCTGCTGCTGCTGCTGCTGCTGCTGCTGCTGCTGCTGCTGCTGCTGCTGCTGCTGCTGCTGCTGCTGCTGATCCAACTTTTCCTTGATCTCCAGCTGCCCCTGCTCCTGCTGCTCCAGTTGCAGCGGCTGTGGCTCAAACTCTTTGTCACACCCTGCCTCCGCCTGTGCCGGGCCCCCCTCCCCGGCCACGTAGTCACGCTGCGGTGGCCCCTGCCGCGCCTGCGCTACCCGCAGCGCATCCCGCAGCGCCGCCGCCTCGGCCTCGGCCTCTTGCGCCCTGGCGGCTGCGGCGACGAGCTGCAGGTGCAGTCCGGAGGCTGCCGCGTCCCTCGCGCGCAGCTGCTGCTGCAGCGCTGCGAGGGACGCGGCCGTGTCGGCCTGCACAGCTAGCAGCTGCTGACGGGCTTCGGATAGGGCGGCCGATGACGCGGACAGCTGGGCCTGCAGTGCGTCCGCCTCACACGCCGGCCGCCCGTGGGACAGCCCCAGGGCGGGTGGAGGCGCCTCACCTGGCTGCTGCAGCTGCTGCTGCTGGTGCTGCTGCTGCTGGTGCTGCTGCTGCTGCTGCTCTTGCTGCAGCTGCTCCTGCTGCTGCTCTTGCGGCAGCTGCTCCTGCTGCTGCTGCTCCTGCTGCTGCATGAGCAGCAACTTCTCCTGCTGCTGCTGCTCAAGCTTTTGCTGCTGCTGCTGCTGCTGCTGCTGCTGCTGCTGCTGCTGCTGCTGCTGCTGCTGCTGCTGCTGCTGCTCCTTTTGCTGTTGCTGCTGCTGCTGCATCAGCAGCAACTGCTCCTGCTGCTGCTGCAGCTGCTGCGGCGGCGGGTGAGTGAGCTGCCGCCTCGGCGGGGATGCCGCCAGCTCGGCGGCGACGCGGCGCTGCGCCACCTGCCGCAGCGCCGCCGCATGCTCGCCGCGCTCTTCGGCAAGCTGGCGCTCCAGCTGCAGGATCTGCCTGCGCAGCTCGGACTGCGCCGCCTCCGCATCTGCCAGCGCTTGCACCACTGCTGTGGGCGGCGCAACGGCGGTTGCGCCGGCGCGTGCGTCTGCGGGTGCCTGCTCAGGGTCCAAGGCGTAGCTGCAAGGCCCGCCGTCTGCCGGTGTCTTGCTCCGCGCGGCCGTGCTGCCAGCGGCGGCGGCTGCGTGGCGGCGGCGGCGACGTGCCCTTATGCTGAGGACACCGACTGCAGCTGTTGCACCGACGGCGCTAACCTGCGCCAACAGCAGGCCCCTCGCCTGCTCCATGGACGCGCGATTCAATACAGATTATTATCTTTGTTGTTGAATCGACGATCGGCGCGTGGATTGTGGCGGGCGCCTAAGGGCCCGCGGGGTGTTCTGGTGCCCGGCGAGTCGCAAGGGAGGCGTTTGACAACATTGTACAGTAGTTTGGCACGGTGCAGTGCAATTGAGGGGTCCCACTTCTGCTGAGAAGACGTGTTACTTCCCTGGAAGGGAGGGGATGTGTCTGATATGTTTGACTGGCATCACCTTGTAGGCGCGCATCCTGGATTATGATAAGCATCCTCACGGCCTGGCCGCGGAATTCTCAGACCCTTGTCGCAGTCACCCGCACCCGGGCCGCCCATACGGAGGTGTCCGCCTGGATGGGAGAAGCTGCTGCGAGCAACTGCTTGCTGCCCTGCATGACGCTGCCCGCCTTCTCCACACCCTTCCTGCTCTGCGACTGCGACCGCTTATGTATGTGCATGGTGTGAGCAAGCACTTCTCGCCAGCCGCCGTCCGCCAATGGTGGTTGGCCGCCGGGCCAGTGCAGTATACCACCCATTCAGCCATGCGCTCAATGATGGTGCGCCCTGCCGCCGGTCGGCTGAATATTTCTAGAACATCGGAGGCTTTACCTTTGCAGCATAGATTGATGGTGTCACAAGGGAGACAATAGCGTGGTGCTTGCTACCGATAAACCCCGTTCAGGGCAAGAGCAACATGTCCCGCGCGCTCGCCAGGACGATCCCCATGCAGCGCAAACCCGCACTGCCGCCGGTCCCCGGCGCCTGCGAGCGACCACATTGACGAAACGCAGCGCGCACGCCCACACGCGCGTGCGCATCACGGCGCCAGCAGCGGCGCGACGGCGTCGCGCACGTCTTGCGCCCCCTCCGCGGCCGCCACGATGGTCGCAAAGTCGTCGGTGCGCTCGTCTGCCGGCACGGACGCGTCCCTGTTGCCCCTGCGGTCGCAGTCGTCGATGTCTTCCTGCAGCTGCGCCATGACCTGGCGCCGGGCCCGGCGGGGG